CGTCGAAATTAATTTCTTTTGATATCTTTGTATATCGTATGAAAAAAGAAATTCTTTTTGAATTTAAAGAAATTGCGATATGATTTCAATTATTTGAAATTCAAATAAAATAACACAATTATTTTCTGTCTGGCGAAATACTTTAAATGGATTTGATTTTCTTTTTGGTTTTAAACGATTTAAGATCTGAAAAAAAGAAGCTAAATTTTGAAGCTTTCCGAATCAATGTTTGGAAATTTACTGGAATTTTTGTTCTGTATATTTTAAATGGATTTTTTGTTGCCTTTTTTTTCGGATTTTTTTTAGATATTTTCTTGTAACTTCTCGACTTGTAAAGAGGCACACCCGACTTGAACTCTCCTATTACTATTATTATTATCATTTTATTTATTTTTATTATTATTATTAATATACCGAACCTGCAACTCGTTTAGCTAATCGACAGCTGTGAAATATGCGATTCATAAATTGAACATTTAGCTGGCCAAGTACACGTTCGGCTCGTGTCGTGTGTCGTTTGTTTTCTTCTGCTTCTACAATTTAGCACTTTTTGCTGATTGGGAGAGTCGCGAATTGAGGTGCAAAATTCGAGTCCAATAATCACCTGACGCTCGGCGGCAACTTCCTTGCGTGCTGTTGGCCGCAAAACGCGTTTATCCAACAAAATTTGAAATGCATTTTGCGCATGTGCCGCAGACATGACAAATTGGCTAATTGGCTGGCGGCGCAGTCGACGTCGGCGTCGACGTCGTCACACACTCACCCAGATACGCCGAACGTACTGCCAAAATGCAACGTATTACAGTTACTTCAATCAAAAGGCAACAAACACGAGCTACCCGTCTTGCTGGCCGCTCTGATTGTTGCTGTTGCTGTTGCTGTTGTTGTCCCGGGGGCAGCAGCGGCAGCGGCAGCAACTGTTGTTGCGCAATCGTGGCAACAACTGCCAGAAACGTGCAAAATGCGGCATCGTTTAGTGTTTAGGTGAGAAACAACAAACGTTGTTCGCTAGGAAAATATCAGTGAAAGTGACGGCCCGAAGCGAAAGACACAGCGACACAACCGACCGAATGCCCAAGCGCACCACGCGGCGTATGAGCAATCTTTTAATTGTTACCATTTCACACGTCGTCGCCCCTGTCCCCGCCTGTCCCCGCCTGTCCCGCCTGTCGCTTTGTCGCTGCCAAAAAAGACCAGAAGCGCTTTTCAGTTGATTTTTTTTACCCACTTGTGTGTTGATTGAATTTCTTGTTTTTGTTTTTTTTTTGATTATGTTTTAATTTACAGCGTGCCACGCCCCGCGCCTGCGTGCACCGCATATTTGTAGCCAATTTTTCAGTTGTATTTGGGTTTCGGTGTCTGCCTGGTTTGTTTTTTCCTCTATCTTTTATCTACTGTTTTATGGGGCTGTAATTTTATAGCGCTCGCGATATGCCCGGCTATGATTATCATTATTGTCTGCTTCCTTATTTTGGCTAATTAACTGCACGACGCCGGCGGCTTTCTTTCACTCAACAACAACAAATTGCGGCTAATGTTGGGGGCAGACATCAAATAGAGAATGAGAGAGAGAGAGAGAGAGAGAGAGAGAGAGCGCTACTCATCTAGCCCTCTCTCTCTCGCTTTGTCTATCGAATATGTTACAAATCGTGTCCTCAGTGCGATGGGCGTGGCGTGAACTGTTTTCACATTATTTTCACTTTCGCTTTGTAACACAGTTTCACAGTTTTCCAGTTTTCCAATTAAACTATTGCATCATTGCTGTCAGATTCGCTTTTTAATATTTTTTAACACCAATTCGGAATCAAGTTAAGAATTCTGTACAGCAAATCGAGCTAGATAGATTCTTATTTAAAAGAACTCTAACTAAAGTTAGCTAAAACAAAAATAACAGAAGATTTAATTTTTTAAACCTCGACTCTCTTTGCGATTCTCAAGTATTCAAGACGGTCTGATAGGTTATGTGTGGAAAGAAAGTGAGACAATAATAAAAATAATAGCCATGACAGAAATATAGTTCCCTTCTCTTAAATAACATAGACATCGACGTTCTATGTGATTCTCAAGAATACAGGTAGGCCTGATCAATTATACGTGGAAGATAGTAAAAGTTAGAGCAAAAGCAGGAGAATGAAAAAGAAAAAAAGAGGGAGAGAGAGGAAGAGACAGATAGAGACACGCACTAGGACACAGGGAATAGATAAAATATAAAAAAAGAGGGAGAGCATCTAAGAGAAGAGCTTCAATTTAAAAGCCTATCAACGCCTATCAACATTACTAAAGAAATACTCTGCTATTTTAGGTTCTGCAAATCACATAGAAGAACTAATGAAATCTATAGGGTATCACAAAAGCCGAATATTTTCGCAACAGCTTACAAATTAAATTTTACATTTCGAAATACAAAAGAAAGCGAACGCTAATCGAAATGCCGTTAGGAAAATTAAACTTGTATTAGCTTGGCTAAAGTTTGGCAAAAAAAAAAAGGGGCTATTAAAAGTTAACCAAAGAGTGACAAAATGTATAGTACCAAGTACCCAGAGGCGAGCATAGGCTGCCCGAGCTTTAGTTTGGGCCATGACAAAAGCGCTTTTTATGCTAACAAGCCCGGAAATCAAATGTGGCCAACACATTTTCCCACACATAATTAATTTTGTACACAGCGAAAAAAAAGGAAGGTAAAATAAAGCAGAAATTAAACATAAAAGTGCTACATCAAAAAAAAAAAAAAAAGCGCTATGCAAATGAGCGCGAATGCGGAATGAATGCAATGCACAGCCAACAGCAACGCCAACAACAACAGCTACAATCACAGTTACAACAACAACAACAACAACAACAACAGCTACAACAATCGAAAGTGTTACACTTTCTGCACTTCAGCAAAAGGCAGTCAAACAAAACAAGAGCCAGCAGAGCCATAAACGAGTGCCATGTAATACAGCAAAGCAGAAACAACAACAACAGCAACAACAACAATATTGCAGTTAAAAATTACCGCAATTGCGCCATCGACGCGACGCGACGCGACGCATGCGCCAACAGCGACGCGAACGCCAGCGGCGACGTCGACAGCGACAGCCCCGTTGAGACAGGTGAAAGGGGCGTGCAAAGGCAGCGCGACTGCGCTGTACGTGCCCAGCGTTGTCTCAATTGTTGAGCTGGACTCAAAAGCGAAAAATTCACTTGCATTGCATAACCTGTGCCAGCAGCTACTGCAAAACTAGCTGAAAGTGTGCTGAAAAAGTCACAGCACACACACACACACACACTCACTTCTAAAAATACTTCTACACACACACACACACGCTATGTAAACACACTTGGATGTCAATGTCGGGGTCTCTGGTCGCGCTTTTGTTCTACATTTGCGTGCTTAGAATTCGTTGCTGCTGCTGTTGTTGTTGCTCTCTTTCTTTCTTTCTCTTCTTTTGCATTACTTGTGACTTGTGACTTTGGGAACCGGTTTTCATTCAATTTGGTTGGGTTTTTCGGGGTTTTTTTCATTTTTATCTTTGCTGTTCATCCGCAGCGACTTGTTTGGGCTGTTGTTGTTATTGTTGTTGCTTGCAGGAGATTTTACTCTCACTTTCATTTTAATGCGAGGCCTGCTTTAAAATGCAGTCAGCGTTGGTAGGTGGAGGAGGAGAGAAGGGGGGGGTTTCGCTTTAAGGGCAGTCGATTTAATTGCCTCAAAACGGATGTAAACGAAATCACGTAAAGCAAAGCGAAATGCAAACATTTGGAATTTGTTTAATTAATGAATTTATAAAATAATTTATGGCTTACTTCAGAGAATTGAGGACATTTCTTTAAGCGTTACTTAAAAGAATTGTTGAACTATTTGCATAGCTAGGTGAAAAGTGAGGCTCTTCGGTTCTGGCCTAATGCCATTTGCACTTATTGGCCAGCTTTGGGCCACATAATTCTATGTCCAACTAGTTAAAAGTCCACAGTTGTCACATGTTTCTCAAAACGCACGCAAAGCGCGCAGCTTCGTACTAAATGGAAACAGTAAAAGTGAAAGTTTAATGCGGCATTAAAATAATAATAAAAAACAAAAAAAAAAACCTACATCAAAGTCCACTAAAAAAAATTTGTGACCAGCTCGCGCTGTCCATTAACACAACAAAGGCACAGGCCAGAGGCTAACAATTTATAGAAATAATATTAATAATAATAACAGACAGCGACGCACACAAAAGCGCAACAAATTATGCCCCCGAAAAAAAAATAAAAATATAAATTCATTTTCACCCAAGAAACAGCATAAATTTTGTTGTCGTAGGCCTGGCTTAAGATACGTTAAGAGCGCCTTTTCTAATGAAACTGTTGCCAAAAAAAGACAAAAAACAAAAACCCAAAAAAAAGCGGCGGAAACCAAATGTAAAAAAAAGAGACACGAAAATTATGCAAATTATTTTAATTACAAACGAGAAACTCCAAAAAAAAGGCAACAAAAAAGCCCATAAAAAGTGCGCGGACTACAAAACGCAGCGCGCTTTGTTGCTGGGCCGCAAAAAAACCTAAAAAAAGAAAAATAAACAACAACAACAGCAGCGGCAACATTGACGCATCGTTGACCCACTTAAATTGGCAAGAGAAACCGTAAACGAAACCGAGCCACAGCCAAAAGCCAAAGCCAAAGCCAGGCCGATCGACGCAACGTTGTGCTAAAAATAAACCCTGCGCCAGATTCTGTTGCTCCTGTTGCCTGAGCCGCAGTGAAAGTGACATAAAAGATACAAGTTGCGCGAGCAAAAAGATACAAAAGTATCTCACACGCACAACGAAAAAGATACAAAAGTATATCACACGCACAACTTGCGCCGAGCCCTGCTCAGCTACATTTTCTATGTGTCTGTATTCTCATACATTTCATTTCATGCCGTTCCATTTCGTTTCGTTTCGTTTTCGTTTTGTTTCGTTGCGTCTCGAACTAGCTGTAAATATTGTATTTGCTCTTCTTTCTATCTTTCATTTTTCTTCTGTTCTTACAGGCAGGAAATCTCCATTTTTGGGTTTCATTTGCAAAGCAAACGGTAAATTTTTGTTTTTCAGTTTTTTTCCCTTTTGTTCAGTTTATGTTGCTGTTCTTTTGTTTTGAAGTTTTGAATCTTGAGTTTTTTTTTGCTTGTCTTGTTTTATTTGCATTTATTATATTTAATTATTTGAATATCCGTTTTTTTCTTAAATTACAGTTTTTATTTTAATTGTTGCTCACTTGCATCTTTTTTGCGCTTGCGTTTAACCTTTAAGTCAACTCCACTTTTCAGCTGTCAATTTCCTTCTCCCTCTCTCGCTCTCTCGCTCTGGTACACAAAAATTTCCCAAGCATAAATCCCAGCGCTGAAAAAAATCCCAACCCCTTAGCCCGCTAGCAAATATCAAATACAAATGACTAATTAAAAAGCCAAATGAAAAGTTGCTCATACGCCGTGTTGGCCCGCTTGCAGATTTGCAAGTCCTAATTTTGTGTACGTGTGTGTGTGTGTGTGTGTGTGTGTTTGCTGCCTGATTTGCTGCTATTACTTCACAATTCACATGCAACAAACACTTGCGCACTTTTCACTTACGCTTCACTGCTAGCGGCATTAAAAAAAACAAGTAAAGAAAAGCAATGAAAAGAAAAGAAAATATTACTTCACTGCCACAGACCAGAAATGTGGTCGCCGTCGACGTCGCCGTCGCAACATGGCATAAAATTTCGCAATAGTTGCTCATTCGCCTAAAAGGCAACAGTAACAACAACAGTAAAAACTTCGCAAATGAAAGTGAGAGTGAATAAGAAAGCGGAAACTAATGCAAGCGAAACCAAAAAAAAAAAAAGAAAGAAAAAAAAAACAACAACAACGCGCTGCACGACGACAACTGGTTTCTGCCGACGGCGTCGGCGCAGACTTCGGCCAAACTTGTTTGCCTGTAAAATGTGCAAGAAATCAAAGAGCGCGTCGCCTAATGCTTAACAGTGACTGCCGCCATCGCAGCAGCGCAGTCAACGCCAGCAGCAAAAGTACGCTCAGCTGCGCCTGCGCAGCGTTAGCTGAGTGCAGCTTTTTTTGAGTGCGTTGCGAGCGCGCAGAGCGACGATAAAAATCAGTTGAAAGCTGAAATTTCACTTTCGCTTTTAGCTGCTGCTGGCTGCGCTGCTGGCTGCGCTGCTGGCTGCGCTGCTTGCCTGCCAGCTAAGCTGCTTCCTCTTTTGTTTGCTTTTGGTTTGTTGGTTTTGCCTGACTTGTTTAGCTGTCTCGCTCTGGCGGCTTGTGTTTGTTTTCGGCTGTGTTTTGTTTGCCGTTCGCAGCGCATGCGGAAATTGTGAGCATTTTGTTTCTCCTTTCTTTTGGGCAGTTTGCCAAAAAGAATTGCCCAGTTATATATATATACATATGTATTTTATAATTTGTATGTTTGTATGTATGCTGTGTGCTTTTGTGGGAGACGCTGTTTTGACCCACTTTACAGACAGCTGCCCAAGTAGTGCTCAGGCCCTTATCATTTACTATGTGCACTTGAAAAGAAAACAAAGCTACTCTACAAATGATTGCGAAAACTATTTTATTGGAAAAACACTAAACCTTATCAGTCCCATTTGTCGTCGTTAGCCTGTGATTAATTTGTTGGGCAAAAAAAAAAAAAAAGCAAAAACTATTAACTTTGCCCTTGGTTAGCATTCAAAATGTTCACGTATATAAACCACATATATTTATATATATTTAATACAGGTGTGTGTTTTCTCTTTGCAGGCAAATCCACATCGAATAGCAAAGAAATCATCTGCCCGGATGATAAATACAAAGAGGAGGGCGACATTTGGAATGTTGAGGCCCAAACGGCATTTCTCGGCCCAAATTTGTGGGACAAAACCTTGCCCTACGATGCTGACCTCAAGGTAACACAAGTTAGTATCATATTCATCGCTGCGTAGTGGCTGCGTCTGTTTTTACTACACTCCCGCCAACCCAATTACCCTTTCCCCTCCCACACACACACACGCAACCCAAAATTGCAAGCGAAACAGTTGAATACACACAAACACACACACGGACACACACACACACTGGCACACACCCGAAATTAACCCGAGTTTTGGTGCTTTACGTAGTGCGAGAATTGTATTCTCATCATATTGTATAAATACTGTACAGTTTGTGGCTTTGACTAACACAACCTTTTTAATTATATCCTACACAAGAGCTGCATTAATTACATGCGATATTTAATTACTTCTTAATTACCCACACAATTACTTCAGTAATAAGAGCATTTAAGCAAAAGAACATGTTTAAAGCTTTATCCACTTAAAAAGAAGTTTAATTACTTAATTACTTGCTTGGAAATATAATTACTTAGGCAATTCTTTGTGGCTACTGAAAATACTTGAGTAAATACGCATTAAAAGTAGAAAAACCCAGCTAAATGTTATAATAAAAGGTATCTTTAGTAATTACTTGAGTAATTATGCCTGAAAAGTGCATTACTCAAGTAATTATGTGTGGGCACTTTAATTAGTTGAGATACTGCGCCTTTAAAGTAGAAAAACAAAAGCAAATTATAAAAACTATGCTTAAAAAGTAGGCTAAAGTAATTTATAAAGAAATTATGCTCAAGACTGCAATTACTTAGGCAATGTGTGGAAATTACTTAAGTAATTATGCCCAAAAGTTACTATTACTTATTAATTAAATTACTTTGAATTACATGATTAATGGAGCTTAAAAAATTAGAATATTTAATTAAATTAATTGCTATTGCATTTAATTACTCAAGTAATTATGCCCAAAAAGTGTAATTACTTAAGTAATTATGGTTAACGTTCAATAGTGAAATTAAAGTTCATCTCTTTTGAGTAATTGTGCCTTAAAAATTCGAAACTAAAGTATATAAAATACTTTTCAATCTAATTATTTGAGTAATTATGCCTAAAATGCGTAAATAAGTAATTACTTGAGTTATTTTGCCTTTAATATGAAAGAATTAAAGTACATAAAATATTAATTTAATTAAATTACCTAAAAGTTCATTGAAGAATTAGAATTAATTTAATTGGCTGCAATTACAATAAATCATTTAATTTAATTACCTGCAAATGCAATTAAATAATTGGATTCAATTACCTGTATTTACATTAAATAATTGAATTTGAATTGAATTACCTGTAATTACTTGAGTAATTGTAATTATTGAAGGCGAAGATTTTGAATTTGCCACCTCAAACATCTGCCCAGTGGAAGTAATTAAAGTAATTAAGTTGTTAGTAATTAAGTAATTAGGTAATTAAACACTACACTACACTTGTCCGGCTGTGTTGATTGTTGAGTTTGTTGTTTGCTGTTTCTGCTGCCAATTTTGAGTGCAACATTTTTGTGGCACACGTGACATTACAATATTTGCAAATTCTTTTCGTATGCAGTATGCGGACCTGGACGAGTTCTTGTCGGAGAACAACATACCCGACAGCCTGCCCGGCACCCATTTGGGGCACGCCGGCGGCCTCGGCCATCGCTCCGATTCCCTGAGCCATGCGGCGGGTCTGTCGCTGGGTCTGGGGCACATAACCACAAAACGGGAGCGATCGCCATCGCCATCGGATTGCATAAGTCCCGATACGCTAAATCCGCCATCGCCGGCCGAATCAAGTGAGTATACGAGTGAGACAGAGAGAGAGAGTGAGAGGGAGAGAGGGAGAGTGAGCGGAAGAGAGTCCCAATCCAAAAACCACGACCCCCCCCCCCCCCACATCATAATTTTTAATTATTAACTTTTAATTTGTTACTCAATTATTTAAAAAAAAAAACACACAAATGGAATGGACATTGCGCCTAATTAACTTTTCGACTTACAATATATTATATTGAATATTGAATATTGATTTTGATTTACCACCTACACATAAAACACATAAAACTTTTTCATCTAGCGAGTAACCGATTCAAACCAAAAGAAAACCCATGAAAAACTAAACTAAACTGAAAAAACAAACTAAGAAAATGTTTTTGCTCATGTCTTATCAAATGCTAAATGTTAAAGGCTGAATTACATTCCAATTTGTGCGATTCGAGGCAAATTTTCTATTTCCTTTTCGTCTACTTTCATTTATCTTCTTCTATTTTCTATTTCGTTTTCTTTCTTCTATTTTTTTTTTTTGATTTTTTTTCTGATTGTTTCTATTTCGTTTATCTGAAAAGTTGCGAGTGCATTTTGTATGATTTAATTTATGGCACGAACAGTCTGTGAAACATTGTTAACATTTAGTATTTGATATTCCAGCATTTTCATTCGCATCGTCGGGGCGTGACTTTGATCCGCGCACCAGAGCATTCTCCGATGAAGAGCTCAAACCGCAGCCGATGATTAAAAAGTCACGCAAACAATTTGTTCCAGATGAGCTCAAGGACGACAAGTACTGGGCCCGCAGACGAAAGAACAATATTGCCGCCAAGAGGTCGAGGGATGCGCGCCGCCAAAAGGAGAATCAGATTGCGATGCGTGCCCGCTACTTGGAGAAGGAAGTGAGTATCGATAAATCGATCAATCGATAAATCGATTAATCGATTAACTTGAACTAATCTCTCTCTCTCTCTCTCTCTCGGTCGATAGAATGCCACGTTACATCAGGAGGTCGAGCAGCTGAAGCAGGAGAACATGGACTTGCGTGCACGTCTATCGAAATTCCAGGATGTGTAATATAGAAATGTGACTTGAGCGATTCGAGAAATCACATCAACAATTACATTTTAATGATAATAATAATTCAGTTATCGATAATTGATAAATGATAAATACTAATAATTTGTAGTAAACAGACATGAATGAAACTACACTACAAAAACTACACATATATGCAATACATATATAGATACATATATTTATATATATGTAATTAAACAAGTTATGTATGTATAATAAGCAGACACACATCTACACACTCACACACATCTACACACTCACACACACACACACATTTGTAAGCTGCGGCCTGCACCGCATATTTATTTTAAACTTAACGTAAAGCTAAACGCAAATTAACTAAATGAAAGAACTAAACAAAAAACAACTTAAATTTTTAGTGTAGCTTAAAAAAGAACAACAACAACAACAAAAAAACAAAACAAAAGAAAACCAATTTCAGAACGCCGACTACAAATGTCTCTCACCACACTTATCGATAGCTTATCGGGCTATCGATAGCGTTGTCTATCGCAATGGCAACCCTGTGCGTACCGTTAGCTGCTCCTCAACCGCTTAACGTAATCGGACGTTAGCCAAGTTAGGATGTTAACGAAACACCTGAAACCCAATTATTGTTAATTTTTACCTAGCCTCTTTTGTTATTAGTTTTTACGCAAGAACCTAAAACAAAACAAACAAAAAAAAACAAAAAACAAAGTTAAACACAGATTTATATAGATATATATATATATATATTTTCAGCGCACCAATTTCTAAGTTTTTGGCTAGTTTTTGTTAAGTTTTGTTAGGCGATTTCTTGGTCTCTTTCTCTGAAAACCTTTTAAGCAAACAAAAATCGTGCATACATATGTAAATAATTTCGTTGCCTACTCCTCAAGTTTGACTCAAGAAAAAAAAAACTAAAACTAAACAACAAAAAAAAAACAAAAAGGTTATTTGTAAACAAAAATGAATGTTTTTCTATGATGAACAAGAGGAAGATGATGATTACGAGTAAAAGAAAACATTTAAAACGAGCAAAAGAACTTCCCTCCTCAGTTGCCCCAGCTCCAGGCAGCTCTTAGTCTAAGCGAACCATTATGATTTTTTTAAATATTATTATTAATTCAGTTATGCAAGAGGAAAACTATTATTTTATAGTCGATTTTGTTATTTGTTGATAACTAAAATAATATAGCGAAGAAGAGGAAGAAGATGCAGCAGAAGTTTAAATTGAAGAAGAGTAAAACTATCTTTAGGCGATCTAAACCGCCCCCCCCCCCCCCCATCCCCCTCACACTCTGCTTTCTGCTATTTCCCTTAGCCTAGCCTAAACCAGTTGACAATTTTTGCAAAGAGTTTTCACAATTTTCACCATTTTCTATGCTAATCTAATTTTGTTTTAACTAATTTGTTTGGTGTGATTTTGCAAGATCTTAAATCTTATATGCATAATTATTATTATTATGATTATATTATGATTATTATTATTATATATTATTATTACATTATTATTATAACTATTTACAGTTTGAGTTAAGTTTTATTAATTTTATTTGTTAAACATTGAGTTACCTTTACCTGCATACCTAGCACTCTAAGCTAACAAATAACAAAACGAAAAACAAAAACAAGAAAAAAAAGGAAAAACCTAAAAAAGCAAAGTGAAAACATAAGAGAAATCAAATAAAATTTTATAAAACAAAACAAAAAAAAAAACCGAAAAAAAAGGAAAACACGCTGAAAAAGTCATTTAATTATTTACAAATATTGCATAAAACGTTTTCAAACAATTCTTTTCAATTTATTTGAATTTTTATTTTTATTTTCAATCAAGCAAAATTTATGTTTAAGCAATACTTTACAAATTTTCAATAAGTTTTATTTATTTTTAAATGGAAATTGTGCAAAAACACCGAAGAGCAGAAAAGTAAAAAACAACAAGATCAATAATAATAATAAACAGAGAAACGAAGAAGAAGAAGAAGCAGAAGAAGAAGAGCAAGCGAAAAGAAATTGTGTAATAATAAAATTGTAAGCGTTGCTTTCAAATATTGAAATATTGTTTTTTGGTTCCTCCATGTAAACAGTTCTTGTTCTTGCCACCATATCATTTAACCCGAACCCCTTAAAAAACAAAATCAACTTAATCTAGCAAGGATCTCACATACGATATACCGAAACTAACCCTAACGATAATACAAAAAGAAGGCAATTACATTTATAGATACAAATGTATCGACATTTATCTTTAGCCAACAAGTTTAGAACTTTATCCAACCACACGAATAGCTGTGCACCTAGCGTATATTGTCGGAGAGCAGAAAAACTTCCAAAAACGAACGATTTATACATTTCCTGGTGCTCCGCAACAAACACGAAAAAGAGAAAAACAACAAATACTCCCCCCACTAATAATAAAAACTAACCTTAAAAGCCTTTTGCACTGCTAAGAAACCACCTAGAGAGAAATTAATGGAAACTATAAATGAAATAGTTGGTCGTATTATTCGAAAAATGAGTTTACGTTTTGAGCTTCGGTTGTTTTGTAAACGATAACGATAACGATACCGATACCGATAACGATACCGATAACGATAACTACAGTAGTGTATTTAGCCCGATTAACTTCACAAACTAAGCAATTGCTACATATTTGTACGAGAAATTCAATTAAGTATATCGATAGCAAACAGCAAGAAATCGTAATATATTTATATAAAGATATTTATGTCTAAGATACAAAATGCGCATAGAGGTGAAAAATAGTGAAATTTGCGAGCTGGCGTGTGAGTGTGACCAGCCCACACACAAAAATATACATATATATATATATTTAACTAGTTATTTAGTATTTTGCGTAGTTTGTAGTTGCTTTTCAGTTATATTTTTTGCTAGTATTTATTCTTTGATCGAGAGATGGGCTAAAAACGTTGCAAGCTTTATTTTCCCTCTTGAGAGCATACTTTTGGGCGGCACTGTTTTGGTGCCTCGCACAGCCCAAAAGTAGAGCTCCAGTTCAGCAAAGAATGAAAAGAAAATGGGAAAATTAGTTAAAAACTAAGCATTTGCAACGAGTTGTGAATTGGTTTTGTTTTTGTTTTTTTTTTTTAGTATTTAATATATATATTAAAATTTCTGATATAGAAGAATGTTCCGTAACAAATTGTAGACTTTAGCAACAAACACAAGACGATAAAACTGAAAGTAAAAAAAACAAGATTTTTTTGTTGTCGTAAACGAAATTATGTCGCATATACAATATATATATATATATATATGATGTATATGCATATACATATATCTATTATATACAATACAATACGAGATGGTTATTAATTATGATTACCAAATTAGTTGAGGTAACTTTTTGTAGATAAATTCAATACGGTAGCTGATGATTTTTTATAGGTATATACTTACATATATATATACAATACTTAGCATATACTACCAGATAGTATATGCCACATAGAGCAATGGAGCTGTTGCGCAACGTAATCGTAATTGTAGGCAGGGCTAAAATTTAGTAACTAAACACACAAATTGTTGCAGTGCAAAGCAAAATAAATAGCAAAAGCAAGAAAACTAGATACTTGCTCCATGTCTGTGTCTATCTAGAAGATATAGGCCTAGGCAAAGGGACAGCGACAGAGACGGCGACAGAGACGGCGACAGAGACAGAGAGTCGAGTGTTTTTAGGGAATTGTGCGAACGGACGCTGAGGTCGTAGGTCGTAGGTCGGAGGTCGGCAATGCGAACATATTAAATGCTATATACATATATATTATAATATATATACATCTATAATATTATATACATATACACATATATACATATATATGTATAAATATGTATATTCTTACATATTATTAATGAGAAAACGTTGTTGAATTTTAAACTCAATAAGCATAAAATCCAGATAAAGAAAAACGCATGAAAAATGTAGTGAAAATCCAGGAAATTATGTACTAAAAATACAAAAAAAAAAATACAAAATAAATTTAAAAATATATTGTTAGTTGTTGCAAACAAAAATTTAGAAAGCTAAAAGTCCCCAAATTAAACAAAAGATTTAAACAACACACGCAACAGACACAACACACAGAACACACACACACACATACACACACACACACAATAGACACACACCATTCAAACACATACACAAAACAGACTCACACAACTCAAAGACAACACACATACAACACTCACAAGAGACACACACTACACACACACACACACACACATGCGTTTTAGAGCCTTTATTTATATTTTGAGAATTTAGCGATGAAAGCGTGTGCAAATAATTTTATATGGAATACAATACCAAAAAAGAAAACTAATAATAAAGAAAAAAAAACATAAATTAAACGGCTAAAGCTAAAGCAAAAGCTACGAATAATTTAGAACTAACGATTTGTAAAGTGTTTGTATTAGTAACAAAAACTAACAAGAAAATGAGAAAAAAGCGAGAATTGCTTGCGGCAATTGAGAGAAAGAGCAATGCATATAAGAGAAATAATATAAACAAAGAGATGAATAAGACGGAGGAGGAGGAGGAGGAAACTGCGCCTAAATGTTGTTGCCAGCATGCAAAATGAAATATTAAATGAAAATCGAATAACAAACAACAAATAAACAAATCCAAAATAAATACAGAAGAAGAAAAATATATATACATATAGATGATGAAAGCAGCCTACGCAAGGACACTAACATGTACCTAGATATACATACATACAAATGAAAAACTTAAAGGTAAATGAGAGAGAAATCTACAATATAGTGAAAAGCAGGAAAAGCAGGAAAAGCGTGCTTGCAAATGCTAACAAACTAAACACAAGTGCTCGAGAAAATAGCGCAAATTGCTGCAGATATTAGTTTTAGTTTGTAATTAGAAGCAAAAGCAAAAACAAAAACGACAGCAGAATTTGTTAACATTTTTTTTTTTTTGTACTTGCCTCTAATTAACATTTGCTGCAACTGAAGCATTTTCGCTTTCGTTTTGGAAACTGATTTCGAAAATTTGTTTCATGTTCGATTTTCACGATTTGTTGAGTTTTGCGCTCGGACAGGCGATAAATTCTGTACGAAATCAATAATATTGATGAATTTTCATGGGAATTAATAACGGCATTATTTGATGGCGAATTCGCATATGTTTTATTGAAAAACTGCAAGAAAAAAGAAAACAATAAAGGTTTAGATACAAATTTTGAAACGATAAATACAACAACTAATTGTTTATAGTTTTTATTCAAGGAAATTTAACAAGTGGGCCAAGAAGTTGCCTAAGCATATTTGTTTTTAGCCTGATATTTGAAAAATACGTCAAATTTGTTTCCGTTACACTTTTTAACAGCTCCGCGCGCTGTTAAGCGCGATCTTCGCCTGTAGCCTACCTCTGGGCTGCTGCTGTTAAGTGTGCTGTTAGCGCTGCTGTTAACGCAGCCCGCAAAGCAGGCTATGTTAATGTTATTTGCTGGCCAGCGAAGTACGTTGTCTGCGCTGCAAGATTGACCTTGAAATTGTAGTTGCTTAAGTTAATTTATTGTTTTGTTTATTGTTGGGGTCAGTTCAGTTGCATAACTGACAGCTGCCACAGCGCGCAATGTTGCCAAGACCTTGGGCGAGACGTGCAACAATGTTGCCAAGCCGCTTGGCACGGTTGGGCTGCTTTCAAATTGAAATTGAATCAATATGAAGTGCTGGAGCCTACAAATTACACCTAAAATCATCATTTCACAGTTATTACCAAATTTAAACAGCGACACGCCTTCCATTGCCATTAGCTTATGCAAAACGTTAACGAATTTCCTCATATTTACAAAACTCCCAAGCAATTTCCGTTGATTAACAGCAGCAGCAACAACAGCAACAACAACAAGACGAGCTGCTGTTCGATTACTTCCTACGAAGAGACGTGCGTGGAAAAATGTTGCAACAAATGCGAGCAATGTTAACACATGGAATCCATATGTAGATGCCCGTGTATATACATGCAGATACATATGTACATATGCATGTGTGCATATTTACACAAACCAGACACCTGAAATTACCAAATTACGAAAAAGTAACTGCAAATAAAAAGCAACACCAGCAACAGCCACTTAAAATGTTAATAACAACATCAAACGTTAAACTGGAAATATGCAGCAGGCGACGTCGCCGTCGCCGTCAACGTCAGCGTCGCCAACGTTGAACTTGAGCTTGAAATGTGAGCGGCGAAGCGCTTAACAGTCTCTGCTTGGCTGAGCCAGCGCTGCGCAGCATATGCTGCTGCCTGCAGCTTAGCATAGTTGTTGTAGCTGCTGTTGGCTCTCTTTTGATCGCCAAATGAGGTCAAAGCGTCGCATACGTAATGTGCGTTAAATGACAGACTTATGAAACCAAACAGGAGCAGCAACATTTATGTCATTTCTCTCTTGATTGTTGAGTGGCGCCGGAAGCACACACAACATGCGATAAATGATGAGCCAGCGTAGGCGTTAACATAACACCCCACACCCCTGGCACGCCCCCGCCCAAAATCCAGCAGCTAACACACAGCAGCTACCTCAGTTTGGCGTCGCCCCATTTGACAGTTGACGTTTTGCCGGCAAATTCGAGCAGCAACAAGAGCAGCGCCCAACAACAACAACAATAGCCGCAGTTATGCTCACTCAAAGAGAGCGCCAAATTGATGACGCAACAGCGCTGCTAGCTGCCTAAGAGCGCTGTGACATAATAGCATGACAGTATGTGTGAGCGAGAGAGAGAGAGAGCGCGCAAAAGTCGCTGCTGCTCGTTTCGTGTGTGTGGGGCTGCCAATGCTTGAGGTCTGCGCTCACTGTACACTGCTCGCTGCCTTCATTTGCTGTCGAACAGCGGCCGTGTCAAGTACAGCAAGAAGAGGCAGCGCTCGCGCGCTTTCGAGCAGCATTCGAACACGTTGCCCCACACAGCAACGGCCCCGCTCGTCGCGTAACCGTAACGTAAGCGCATTACAAAACAACGGCAGCAGCGTCATCGCGTCGCTATTTTGTCAACGTAACCAGCGCGTTTATCGTTTTTGCAAGTGTGTGCTTCTGTGTGTGTGTGCATGTTTAATTTGCTAAGCATAAATTTAAAATCAGCTAAGCCCAAAAGTGAAGTGCCGTATAGCATAAAAAAAAAACATATTTGTTTGGCCCGCGCGATATGTGTAAAACCCGTCTGTGGGTTACGTAAAGCCGAGCCGTTGGGTTCTTACAAAACAAAAAAGCAAAAAGCAAAGGCAAAAGTTACGCGCACGCCTCGAGAAAAAAAAAGAATAAAAACGGCACAACAAAATAAAAAATTTAGAAGAAAAAATTGAGCAAAGAATTTTTGCACTGTTTTGTTGTTGTCTCGCGTGTGGCAATAAATTTTGACACAAAAGAATTTATTGTGTGTGAGTGTCTGTGTGTGTGCGAGTGGCTGCTTAGACAGGAGGCGCGGTCGTGCAGTACAAGTAAAACAAGAAGAGGAAGAAGCAGCACCAGAATCAGCAGTTGTCAATGCGACAGGTAAAAAAAAAGAAGAGAGTGGCGCTAAGAGAGCGCGCACAGCAGCCAATTGGGTGCTCTCTTGTGTTACGTTACGACATCAGGCCACACGCCGCCTGCTATATGTGTGTGTGTGTGTGCGCGCGTCTGTGTGATTGCGTTGGTGTGCGTGTGCAATGTGAATGAACGCGCGCGCTCAACTTAGTTGCATTGCTCTTTGAACAGCAGCAGCTGAGCAGCGCAGCGGCAGCAGCAGCGACATCGGCGGAAAAACTGTTTTTCATTTGTGTTGCTTTTGTTGTTTCTGCGAATTGATTGTGAAAACAAACTGCGCTGCAGCGCGCTGCCAGCAGCTTGTCGGCGAGGGGGGGTGACGTTGGCTGGGGTTCATTTTGCGCCGCTTACGTGTTGCCATATTTTTAAAGGCATTACTAAGCGGTTTTTTGTTTGTGTTTGCGCCAAATGTTGTTGTTGTTGTTGTTGTTATTGTTCGCTTTGTGGCGAACGTGTTGTTGTTGACGTTCTGGCAAATCAAATTGGCAGCACTTGATAATAATATATATTTAATTTGTGATAAAAGCATGCGGCCCTCTGAACAATATGCATGATAAATATATTTCAATTGAATTTAAATTAAATCAAATGATGTAATTTCACACAAAGTTGACAAACAACAAATTACAATTGTAATGTGTTGTACAGTTAATTATGGGATTAATTTGTGAGTAATAAATAAATAAATATATTCGCAGACAAATTAAATATATAATATTAAGTTATTTTATTTATTATTTTATTCACTTCTTTATTTTGAAAGTTTTATTTCAAAAATTATTGAACTCTTGAAAAAGTGATTCAATATTTAAATAAAAAATGCATAACATAAACAATCAACAAACTCGGACAACATTTGTGTTAAACAACAAATGTGATTAATAAGTTAAATATAGAAATAGCGCGAACAGTTTTAATCGCATATTCAAATTTATAGCTTATTTAAGTAGACAGCTTTTTTTATAGTTTGTTTTTTACACTCTGGACCTTATTGAAATGCAACAAATTGCGGCAACAACAACCGAAGCGCTTGTCAAATAAAACAGGCCCCCCCCCCACAGTTCCCCTCCCTCGTCATGCTGCAAGCGGGGGCAACATTTGCCGGCGTGCAGCAGTTTACGTGACGTGGGCAGCGTCGTCGCCCCTTTGACGTTGACGTTGACGTTAACGTCGCAGCCGACGTCGACGTTGAGGTTGACGTTACGACACGCGACGCATTATGCGACCGTTAACAACAACAACAACAACTCGGCTCTAACAACTGAAAACTGTTAAGCTATAAAACCCTTAACTGAACATTTGCTCACATTTCCCTCGGCCTTATGCAAAAAGCCAATTTTAAAAGCCAAAAAGCCAACTCGTCAGCGCATGAGTCACGGGCGTAGCCCACAATTGGATCTTACATAAGCGAGTGGCAGCAATTAGCCAGAATCTCAAGTAATTTGGCATTATGCAACACAGCAGCAAACGGAAATGGGCGACAAATCAAAGGCGAACCAAAAGAAAAACCATAAAAAGCTAGCCAATAAAATTCTCTCAAGTCAATAATTCTGGCCAGCTGTTTTTTTTTTAAATCTTCTTCTTGTTGCTGTTGTTGTTTTATTGTGGCGTTTATCGTGGCCATAAAACGCGCCGTAAAAAAAAAAGCAAATGAAAAGCCAATAAAACAAATATCAAAGCACAAATCAGATGGCAACAAGAAACGGCAAGAAAATTGCTTATGAAAATGAAAAATTGTGTATCATAAGTTTGCGGCGATTTCATAACACTCGCTTCTCGCTTTTTGCTGCCCCTTTATTGAATGGCAATCACAGCAATTATGTAATTTCATTAGGCCCAAAATTCATGCCTTTCACACACACACATACACACACACACATACGCACACTTGTGGAGCCCGTCAATTGGTGGAACCTTTCGCCCATTTGCATTTGACATTGCATTTCATGGCAATTTCTTGTCGCCACCCACAACAATTGACTTAAGTAACAACAAGTACCAGCAATGTGCGATTGTTATTATTAAATGGCAAACACGACTCACAGATACCCTAGCTTTAAAGCGACTCAAACTGTTTACAGATCGGGATATAGGAAGTTAATATATAGAATATAGAATATATATATAGGCCTTATTACTATCAGAAGGCGATTCCATCCTCTCTTCTCTCCTCTTCCCACTCCTTTCCCTCTCTACTTAATATAGTTGTATTATATAGTGCCTATTGGAACAATCTGGTTAATGTTTCCAAAGTCAAAGGCTTTCATATTTTGCAGCTATCGGAACAGTTTTTTATGTGCAACCTAAGCATTTTCTCAGTTTGAACAATTTGTTTAAATCAAGATTCAGTTCGGGTTTGAACCAGCGCGGTTCAACTTGCTTCTATATTTATACAAAAATTATATATTTGATATAGAAGCCAATTCCTTAACAATGTCGTGTATGCTTAGAAGAGACCGGAAGCAGTTAAGAGCTTAGTCTCTAACTAGTTGGATTTCTAATAAGAGATTATGCAACCGGCCCCTTTTAGACATGGCTCCAGTATATTCATATGTGTAGAGTATTTGAAAACAACAAACAGTTGACGTTGTCGTTGTCGTTGTAATTGCTTTTTGTCTCGGTTTCCGTCAGCTCCAGTCCAAGTAACCCCCTCCCCTCCCCTCCCTCCCTCCCGCCCTCGGCCAAGTCGCAGGCCCAGTCTCCGACTCAGAATGTTGTCGCCATTTGCTGCCAAGTCGTCTGTTGGCTGAGGCAACGATAAATGCAATCGCGGAATATGATTGACATTGCATAATACAAGCTAAAAAATAAAAAGAACAGAAAAATAGTTGAAAAGCTGGCAAAGTATATACATATATACATATATGTAAGCGTGCTTTGTATGTTTGCATATATCAGCGCATATTCTTACACAACAACAAAGCCAGCAGCAGGCGCAACAGAGATAGCAATATATTTACAGTTCATTTAGGAACGTTTATCAGCGATGTTATAAGTATTACGCAATTACCAGGTCATATAAGACCTCACACACACACACACACACACACACACACACACACACACATACGCGGGCAGTCAGCGATTGCATCTAGATACACACATGTGCACCTTGTTACACGAGTCGTATACATAATTTCTACTTACGCAAAGGCCTGGTCTATTATCTAAAAGCGAGACCTGTTAGAATCGAGCGACTGAAAGTTGTTCAACAACTTTTACCGCATCAAATGCGTCACACATATTGACTGAATGTCTGCGGCACTCACACGCCCACATCCGAGTCGATGGAGAGTAACACAGGGGTTACGAAGCGATATCGGCACGGTTATGAAATATAACGTGATTTTAAGTGGTTCCTGGAAGGCTAGACTCACAGTCTGAAGTATTTCAAGGTTGAGCTAAGGCTATATAAACATGTCTATCTAGATGCCTTGTGTATTGATAAGTTGCCACATGTTGCTCAATAACAGCAAGGAGGCGGGTCGCAAATTTAGTTTATGCAAGAACTGTCTGCAGAATAAATCATACGAAACAGCTGTTGCTTTTTAACACGCTTACGCAGTGACTCACGTCAATAGCAGAGTCTGGAATTGTAAGCAGACAGTGCGCATCAACAGTGTTAGTTAACGTACATATCAAAACGATACTTTATGCGAATCTTATACAGATGTAAATTATTTAGGATTTGTTGGTCTAGAGTAGACAGAATATTTAGAAATAAGCTCTAAAAAGCTCCGCTGATCTTAACAGTGGCTTAAGCTAGTCAGTGCTTAAACCACTTGAGAATTACAAGCGAACAATACACCTAAACAGTGTTGACTAACACACATACAAAAGCGATACTTCATTAAAATCTTATCTAAATGTAAGTTAGTTGGGAATTGAGATTGAGAATATTTGTGAACTCTTAAAAGCTTTGCTGATCTTAACAGAGTCTTCAGCCACTCAGTGCTTAAACCACTTGAGAGTTACAAGCGAACAGTACACATAATCAGTGTTAGCTAATACACATATAAAAAGGAATACTTCATTAGAATCGTATATTGATGCTATTCCTAACTTTTTCGCTAGAGTAAACAGAGAATATTGAGAAATGAACTCTAAACAGCTTTGCCGATCTTAACAGAGTCTTAAGCCACTCGGTGCTTGAACCACTTGAGAATTACAAGCGCAAACATTGCATAAACGCTTTGGAATCTAATTGAAGTGCTTCCTTGTCAGAGGCGTATATTATATACCCATGACACATTTAATTTGAAACGATTTTGAAAATGTTCTGCAACTAGCTGTTTATTTAAAATCATTCAATCTGATTGTTGCCTTTGTTGTTGGCGCAGAGCAATCAAATTGATATAAATAACAAGATGTATAAGAACCTTCGGGCGAGCATATATTCAGATTTCGTATTTCTATATTCTTGGCCAACTACCAATAGACTTAGACAATGTTGCGGCATTACTTAACATGATATTTTATGCTAAATATTTAGTCGGCCAAAGCAACTGGGCCATGCTCGCATAATCATACGATTCACATGCTGGCGAGATAGCCAAGTGAAAATGAAAACCCAAAAAACAAAAACAAACAAAACACAACAATAAGAAATCAACATTTTTATTTGCACGCAATTTTCTTTTTGGCACACTTTGATTTTCGTTTTACATTGAAAACGTATCTGTAGCTGTTTATCTGTTTATGTGTGTGTGTGTGTGTGTGTGTGTGTGTGTGATGCGAGATGTAAACAAATTATAACCGAAAAAAAATAGAAGCGAACATGAAGCGAAAAAAATATTGTTTACATAACAAAAGCAAAAACATTCGAGCGTTGCCAATGGCCACGACGCTCTTTATGGGAGTGTGTGCGTGCGTGTCTGTGTGTATGTGTTGGTGTGTTGTGCCGGCATTGTTTATCTTCTAGATACAAAAACTGAACGTCAAAGAAAAACGTGCGCAATATTAACGACAGCAGCAAAACACTCGCAACAGCACAGAAACACACACACGCACCGAAGTTGCTCTTAAGCCACGAGAACAGTTCTGAAGAGCGCTAACAGCGCGCGAGAGCAGCAGCAGCTGTGTCTGTGTGTGTGTGTGTGTGTGAAGAGAGCGACTGCTGCTGTAAATGTGGCGTTGTTTGAGTTTTAGCTGTTGCTCTTCGTGTTGTTATTGCCCGAGTGCGGGCAAACGTTCTGCTTTGTTTTTGTGCCTACGTGAGTGCGAGCGTGTGTGTGTGTGTGTCGACGAATTTGATTTTGATTTCGTTACTTGCGCCAGCGTCCGCGTCAGTTGCTTCGTGATTCAGTGTTAATTTTCATAATATTATGTAATAACATGTGCGGCCCCGCTGGTAATTGAAAAATTGAGTGTCAATGCGTTGATTGGGCTAGACTACACAGCCCCAAATCATTTACACGCGCTGTGTCAAGCACACATACAGTTTTAATGCCAGTCGCTGCTCTTTGCGGCAAGTTCGTTGACCGTTTATGTAACGCGCCAAAGTCTCAAATGGTGGGGCTGCTCGGCAGCTGCAAAGCTCAGAATTTTAGGCCAGTCAATTAACAGAATACGCGACAAATGTCACGTCACTGCACGAGAAACAGACAGAGAGAGAGAGAGAGAGAGAGAGAGCGAGAGAGAGGAACTGGCAGAGAGATGCAAGTAACAAGAGATAGCAGACCTGTACACACGGGTTCAGTAATAGATACGGTAATTCTTATTTTTCTGTTGTCGCTGCAGCTGTCATAAAATAGGCAGCGCAGCGCAGGCAATAAAACGAAAATTAAATCAAAGAGAAACAGCGGGAGAGCGAGAGAGTGGCGCGCGCGCTCTTCAGCTGCGTGCGCTCGCATTGCCGCTCTTCGTGTGCGCCTGTGTGTGTGTGTGCGTGCGTGTGAATTATAAAACAGAATCAAAAGCTGCGATGGCGGCAGACAGAATCAGGCAGAAACGCAAAACGGCATTTTGTACGTTACGTAAAATTTCTACACACAGTCGATTTTATTTCTCGTCTCGTCTCGTCTTCTGCTTTCAGATGCCAAACCGAGCGCGTCGTCGCTTCCGCTGACCCAACACCAAACGCCCAACATCCAACACGAGCAGCGCCAGCAACAAATAACCAACTCCAGTCACTGTCAAACTGCGAAGGGCAACGCACGCGTCGTCGCTCTCAAAAATAAAAATCAAATAAAATATATTAAATATATATACGTACATATAAATCCATGCATATAAGCAAATTAATTTAATATTTTTGGTGCCAGTTGCTGATATGAAGAGCTCAAGTGAAGTGCATAAAATACAAAAAATTAGCATGACAAAAAGGCAACAACAATAAGTGTAACAATAACAACAATTAAACACATTCAAGGCAACAAAACTCAACTTAATAAATATAAAAAGAAAAAGGAAGAGAAAAAGCAAAAAGAAAACGGTTCATTAGCAGACGTCGCGTCGACGTCGTCGTCGTCGTCGCAGTCGCATACGTGACAACGGCCAGCTACACAGCACAACAACACCAACAACAACAACAACAGTAACAACAACTGCAGCAGCAACAGCAACAGCTGTCAGGATGCCGCTCTCCCAGGGCTACTACATGAAGCCCTCGCTGGCCACCAAACGGGCGCTGAAAGCGCTGCGCAAGGAGAATCAACAGCAACAACTGCAACTGCAACTGCAGCAGCAGCAGCAGCATCAACAACAGCAGCAGCGGCAGCAGCTGCAACACTTGGGCGCTGCTGCACGGCCGCTGTCCAGCTCAACGCACACGCTGCACGCGCTGCTGCTCAACAACAACAACAACAACAGCAGCAACAACAGCTCGCAGCAGCTGTCCTTTCTGCTGGGCGAGTCCTTTGCCCGCTTGGGCAGCCTGGCGCAGGCTTTCAATGTGTACGAGCTGATTGCCAGCCTGCAGCCGGACGGACACGTGCCGCTGGACAAGCTGGCGGTCCTGGCCAGCGCTCTGACCGCGCACATACGCCAGCTGGGCGGCGTGGGGGGCTTGCCGTCGGCCAGCCAGGCGCTGGAGTCGAGTCGCAAGTCGAGCTACCAGCGGATGCTGCAGCATGTGGACAATTGGAGGGCGCAGACGCTGGCTTTGGGGCTGTTGCCGGAGACGGATTTGGATTTGCATGCGCCGACGCGAGAACTAGGCGTGCCGAGTCCGGCGCTGAGCGAGGATTACGATCCGCTGCTGTGCCCGCTCTGTGCGGACATGCTGCGCGCTCCGGTGACGACCAATTGCGGGCACACGTTCTGTGGCCAGTGCTGCGAGACGATCACGCAGTGCAACATCTGCCATGTCAAGTTTCCGCGCAGCGCCGAGCGTCTGCCGCAGGCCATGGCCTTGACCAGCACCACCTCCTCATCCTCATCCTTCTCCGCCTCCAACACCAACAGCAGCAGTCTTGGCCTCGGCCTTGGACTTGCCAGCTCATCGACGCGCTTCATGCCGGGCCTGCCGCCCGCGCCGATCAGCAGCAGCTTTCCCCATGGCCTCGGATTGCGTCTGGCTGTGCCCGCGCCCACCACGGTGACCACCACAACGGTGGCTTCGACCACGGCAACGGCCACAACGACCATGGCCTCCGGTAGCGCCGCGTCCGCCCTGGTGGCCGGCATGGGCGGCTATGCGCTGGGCGGCGTCACGCCCACCAAGTTCATGCCGGACGTGCTCGTCAGGCGTCTGGTGGAGAAGTGGTGGGGCGCCGAGCTGCAGGCCAAGAAGATCATCGAGAAGGCCACCAGCTGCATGCATCTCAATCGGCTCGACGATGCGCTCAAGTTCTGCAATGCCAGCCTCGACAAAGGTGAGTCCTAACTTCCAATAACTTTGGGTTAACTTGGGGAATCACCAAAAATATATACTTAGACATACTTTGGGAAACTAAACTAAACTCTCTTCAAACTGATATTCAGCTGTTTTGAATATGATGTGATTTTTTTTGCACAGTGTAGCGAATGCACTGTGGCAAATTTTGATACGAATTATAATCTTCATTAAAGACATATCTTTAGATATATATATGAGCAGGGACAGGGACGTAAAGCTCTCTTCAAATTCGGCGAGTTAAAATCTTTATAGAAGATATATGTCTAGATTTATAGAACCAGCTTCCGGCCTTGAAATTCGGTTCGTGATTTTCGTTTTTCTCATTCTTGAACACATTTTTTGATTCAGAACTTGGTTTGTCTTTTAACTTGTCAAGATTTCAATTAAACAATTATATTTTAGCTTACATTTGCCCGTTGTACTGAAAATATTGCAATACCCTCATATTTTCATATGCAAGATATGGGCTATATCCGATCTGTGGCCTGAATTGACATCTGTCAAATATGGTCAGATAAATGCCAAAATTGGAGCCAAAGTTATTTATACTTTGGATCTAGTTTGGTCTGCTTTAAGAGTTTGCTTTATTTTGAAACAAGTCGTTTTTAAAAGAATATGATTTATATTTTTAAAGAACTTGTTTGGTTTAAGGAGCGGTTTAGTATACAAGGGTTTGAACCAGCATTTTGAAGCTCTCTAAATTATAATCCCAATGTTCATATTAAGCATAACAAAATACTAATTTATAGTTTATGTTAATGCCTACAAATAAAGTCAAAAATAGAAGACAAAATTAATTATCTAGCATAGGCACATTAATCATTAGTCAATTAAGCTCTGGCACAATACCAAACTTTTCGTTCAGTGTAGCGAATAGAGAGAGAAAAACATAGAGAAACACGAAGAGAACTTTGTCAAAATATTATTTTTCCCATATGTCTACACTGACAAAACACTCGTAAATCTTAATGAGCTCACATTCAGGCGCATAATAACTTCCTCCTAGGTCACGCCTTTTCGCTCAGTGTTGCTTGAAAGTGTTTGGGTTTATATTTGATGGGTGCTCGAAAAATCAATAAAGAGGATAAACACAGCTCGCTGCTGACGTCAGCAGGCGCTGAACTGTGCAACAGGTTTTCAATGGAAAAGCCACACACACACACACACACGCACACAAATGCAGCGAGGCCCTGGCCTGGCCTGGGCCACAGGTCGTATGCGCGATGTAGACAACTGTGGGACGAAGAGGCGTTCAGCCTTAGCATCATTTGTCAGCTGTTGTTGTTGCTCTAATTGTGTTGTTGTTGATTGTCCCCCCCCCTTCTCCCTCTCTCTCTCTCTCTCTGTTGCTCTGTGTGCCAAGGACTCAATTATTAAATATTTACGTCGCAAATTCAAAGTAAATAAAGCATGCCACAAATGCTGCGCTGTCAAAGTCAAAGGGGTGTGACATCGTTAAGGCGTGGCGGAGGGGGGGGGGGAGGGGCAGGCAGGCACTTGGGACAGCTGCCAAGCAGAGCAAAAACGACAAACCAAATTAAAATGTCTACTTAAGGGCCACAGCTACAACAACAACAACAACAAAAACAACAACAACAATGACAACATCTTGAACTTTGAATAAGTTGGCCACACTCCACGCCAAATTGCAGACAGATACTTTCAGGGGCCACTGTGCATGAATAATTGAGGCGCTGAGTCAACGCATTGGAGGCTTTTCCCAGTCGCACGTAGACAAAAGAACAACAACAACAACAAGAGAAACAACAACAACTACTTCCAAAAAGCACCGAATAATCAGCTAATTAATCATTAAACGCGACACTTTTGCGCCCGAAGCAGCTCCGCAAATAGTTCCCCAAAGCTGTTTTTCTTGACTCATTTTCTTTCTATTTTTCGATCGTTGTCTGTTTTTCGTTTTTTTGTTTTTCCTTTGAAAAATCAGCGCAATACACGCACTTAGAAATCCATCAAACAAGCTGCGAAATACCAGGTCGCAGACACTTGACTGGACGCCAGATGCCAGCCGAAACGTTTAGCGCAGCCAAATGGCAGCTGCTGAGGGGCGTGGTCGGGGTGTGGTGGGGCGGGGTGGGGCAAGGCAATTGGCAGCCAACAGCTGATGGGTAATTTGCGAACACATTAAACAAAAACTAAAATTAAGCAGATCAATTTAAGCAGGCGTATATGAAGTAGCTGATGGGTGTGGAGGGAGGGGGAAAGAGGGGCGAGTGATGGAAAGAGATAAATAGAAAGAGAGAGAGAGAGAGAGGGAATAGAGATAGACAGACCGAGAGGAAGAGATAGACAGAGAGAGAGGAAGAGATAGACAGAGAGAGAGAGGAAGAGATAGACAGAGAGGGAGAGAGAGAGCTATATAAAGAGAAAAAGAGAGAGATATATATATAGAACGAGATAGAGAGAGCGAGATATCTATATATATATCCCCTCTTTCCCCCTCCCTCCATGTATAGAGAGAGAGAGATAGACAGAGATAGAAAGATAGATAGAGAGACTGAGGGAGACATATATATGTATGTATATATAGAGAAAGAGAGAGAGATAGAGATAGTTAGTTGAGTTTTAAACTAGACGTTAAATAGATGGATGTGTGTTCAATTTTGACAACTGTTGAGTTCTTTAAATGCTTTTAATGCCAATAAGCAAAAGTTAAAGTTAAGAAAATATTTGCGAATGGCTTTAAACGAAATTGTGGCTTAAATATTGAATATTTGATTTTTTCTCTTTTTTTTTGGCAACGCTGAGAAAACCTTAAGTTTGTTTATTTTGCATTGAACTTGGCTAAGAACTGCAAACGGCTTTTATTGTTTATAAAGAGAAGTTAAAATCAGCTTTAAAGAAGTTTAGCTTTTGAGAGTTTTTCTCTCCTAACTTAACCTCATTTGTAGCCAATTAATCGGACTGCCTAAGCTTAATTTGTCTCATCTATAGTTATTTAGCTAGTTTGTGTCTTTTAACATTCTGCATTCCACATTCTATAAACTTAACCCAACTATGCTGTCTGCTCTAATTAAAGTCTAATCTAAATATAACACGTTAATAATATTTGTTTAGTTGCTTTTCCCATTCTTTTTCTTTGGCTAATTCCTAATAACAACGTCTAACTATTTAGTGGGTGTCTCTGGACTAGTCACAGCGCAGGTTCTGCAAAATGCAATTTGGCTGCCATGTGGGCGGGAGGGGGCCAGGTGTGTTTTTTTATGGCTTATGCCAAACTGTTGCGTGACTCTTGCGGCTTGTGTCGCCCGCACAAAACTGAGAATCGGTCCGTATTGCTTTCATAATTGTTCTTATCAGAGCACATTGTTTTCCCCTTTCTTCGCCTCTCTCTCTCTCTCTCTCATTTTATTGCTGTTATTGTTATTGTTTATATAGTAAACAATTGTGATTCAATGTGCTGATTAGCCCAGTCAAAGCTGACGCACCATCACACGAGCTTTACGAATTTTGTTTACCTGGCCAAAAAAAAAAAAAACCTATTATAAAAATGCGACTTGAGCAATGAAAATTGCCAATTAAAAGCACTCTATAGAGCTGCGCACAAAACGTTGCTAAACACACGTACTCACACGCACCCACACACACACACACACACCTTTAAACACACACATACATACACACCCAAAAGAATCCAATTGGAGCTAAGCTATTTTTAAGCATTGTTTGTTTTTCTTCATTTCTTTTCTTTTCTCTTTTTTTTCGTTCTCGCAATCAGTTATTGACTTTTGTGCTGATAAAAGAAATGTATCGAAATCAGGGCAGAAAAGAATAGAAAATAACAACAACAACAACAAAAAAGTTGTATAAAATAAGCTGGACATAAGCATTTATGGCCATTTGTTGATAAACAAAGTGCGTAGTCATTGCGTTTAGACAAAGTCAATTGTAGAGCATAAATAAATCAAATATATTTCAAATTGAGCTGTTGACAGCTGTCAAATACGCAGCGTTGCCATATCCGCTGCTTATTTGATGGCCACTTGACGTTGACACTAGTCAAGATCAAGCGCTGTGTGGCAGGCTTTAAAACAGCCCAGACAAGAGTGCAACAGCAGCAGCTCCAGTTGCCACACACAAACACGCGCCCATCAGTCAGAAGTGTTTGCTTGCGCTTGGGCTTGGATGAGGCACTTAACAGCCAGGCACTAAATGAGCCACAACACGTGCCACACATGAAGATAATCAGCACACACACTTACACACACCAAACACACACAAATGCCACAAAAGATATACTAGATGTGTCGCCCACACGGAGCTGCTAATGTAGTCGTCGACCTCATGCAACGCTGCCACATGTGGCATGGCGAATTTGCAATTACAGCGACTCAGTACACAACACAAATATACCACAAAAAAGTCCGAGTGCCTTAGCTCGACTAGCAGATGCTCTATAAAAACAAAAGAAGAGGAGTTCGTCTTAATGTATGCTTAAACCTGGTTCATCTGACAAAGCGTGGTCTCTATGTATACCCACCTCTTAGATTATGTTCAAAATTACTAGTCAATAAATAATATCGATAATAATCGATTATTTATTAATTCATTTTTATAAAATTGTACAGATTTCTGTTTTTATAAAATAGATTTCTTAACAATTTATTAGGATTTTAGACATAAATTCGAACTACAATAAATTTGAATGGAATAGAGTATTAATATAACTAAGACCCCCTCTATAAGATATATGCTCCAGAGTTAGTTCGCAGCTTATTCCAACTCCTATATTTACCAAGTTAAGACAAACTTAACAACTAAATTCTCCTAGAGTTAAAGTTCATATAATTGCTGATATCTAAGCTATAAAAATGCTCTATAAACAGAGTTTTTCGCTTCAGTTTTTACTGTGTTAATAAAATATATGAAAAGGTTCTTTTATAGCCACAGGGTATACTAGACTTGACCAAGAGAATATGAGCTGTAGCAGGAGACAGGAGGCAGGTGCTGTTCGCTTCA